AATTTTTAAATACCATTTAAAAGTTTGGGGTTTTTTTTTTTTTTTTTTTTTTGTAAATTCTCTTATGCTTTTCAAAGGCTGCATTTATTTGATCAAAAATACAGTAAAAACAGGAATATTGTGAAATATTATTGCAATTACGTAGCTATTTTAATATATTTTAAAATGAATTCCTGTGATGGCAAAGCTGAATTATCAGCAGCCACTTCTCCAGTCTCACATGATCCTTCAGAAAACAGGATCTTCCTCGGTTTTAGACCCTAAAGATCAAATATTACCAAGAAAATATACATATTTTATATAAAATAAATACAACAACAACTGTTGTTTACAAAGCCTGATTTACAACAGTCAAGTTTTACATAAGACACTGTGAACAAGTATTTTCCATCGCATTCTCAAACACAAACCGCTGTGCACTGGCGCCCCCTTGCGGCAACATTCATTCACACTATCGACTAATCAGCGGCAGCAAGGCAATAGCGATACAAACCTCCTGTCATGCTTTAGGAGGAACACACGCACACACACACAAGCTAGCCGGACTGAATTGAGCCCAGCCCCAACTCAGGAGGCGTCTGGCGTCTGGATTGAGAGCAGACCGCATTCGGTCCATCTGACCACCACCAGAGCGCCTTTAATTCTCAGTCTCAGCGACAGACAGACAGCAACACGAGTCATGGAGACCAGACTGCCCTCCAGCTAGCTAACTGCTATCCGGCCGGAGCCCGAAAACATGCGCTAGACAGGTATTTACCCTGCTGCATCTGCTCTTTCTGTGTCCACAGGGGAGAAAACACGACTTGAAGATGTCTGACATCCATCAGTGAGACTTGAGATGGTCTGAATGTGGAAGTAGGTGGGAGTGCTAGCTTGCTTGCGCTGCTGTTGAATGGGTTGTTTATGGCGGATTTCAGGAGTCCTCCGGGGTCTCTAGTATTGCTTTCTGTTATAGATTCAGATTCAACTGTATTTCTATCCAGTGATACTGTGGGAGTAAGACTTAAACCAGAAGAGAAAACGGGCTGCGTCTCCAATTCTAGTGAGCTGCCTTCCTGTGCAGCATTGGTGGGCATCACGGCGCTTTCTAACGATAGAAAAGTTTCAACTCTCCCTTGAAGCATCGAATCTTCCAATCACGGTCGACCTGGGGCCTGTACCACGATGGTGGCTGAACAAACTCGGGGTTACAGGATTCGTTTTGAGTTGACAAAACCAAACCAGTCAGGCTTTGTTGGTACCATCATCAACTTTCTCTGTCAACTCAGGCTTTGATCCTGAGGTAACCGAGCACGTGCACATCAGAAATGAACATCCAATCACATGCCTTGAAACTGTGATTCACTTCTCCTGAGAGAGTCAATGCTATTCACTACCAAAGATTGAACAATATGAAGAATTTAAACACATTTACTAGATGAAACGACCTATCCATAAACTTAAAGAAAACATCTTGCCGTATAAGTGCAAGTAAAAGTTGTACAGTTAGTTTATAGAGTTGATCATATTTATAGGTATAAAAACACTTAAAATCTAAGCTCGTATGTAGTCATGTTTAAAGCTATTGATTCTAAAACTTATATCGCATGTTATCTATATGTTTATATTAATTTAAAATAAAAGCTTAATTCATAATTACTATTAAACTAAGCTAGCTTGTGTAATGGATTAAGGGTATAATAATTATATCATATAAAATAATTGAAAGAAATAATCATCTCTAAAAATCAGACAATTTTATCTTTAAAAATGTTTTTCTATGTAGCGTCTTTTAATTTGGAATAAGAGAAATTGTGGGAGTGGCTTTATTGCATCGGAGATGTGTCACTTTGCTTGAAGCTGATTGGTCAAATTTCGGTTTGAGATCTCTAAACCAGAACATAACCTGCCCCGGAGCAGGTTAGCTGTGGAGCGTAAGTTACTAAGGCAGTGAATGACGGTAAAAGCCAAGCCACTTTCATGGTACCTAAAACCCAGGATTTGTGCAAACTAAACTTAAACTTACCTGGCTAGCCAGCTAAACCGGCTTCATGGTACAGGCCCCAGGTCTGTGATGCATCAAATGTTCGAATCTTGCGTTCAGACTTATGCTTTATTGGCCAATTATTCGAATAGAACTCGCATGTGATGATGCATCGGATTTCTTTTCAGACTGAAGCTCCGAACTCATCCGTGATGCTTTGGACTCTTCAAACTGGCATATTATTAATCGGATATTCGAATCAAATTTTTAAATGCATGATGTGAATGGAATTTTTTAAAATGCTTGTTGTGAATCAAATGTTTAAATATGATGTTTGAACGGGTAAATACTGCATCGAACTCTCCCGTGGTGTTTTGAACGTTTAAATAGAAAGCTCGAACTTGCATATGATTAATCGGATGTTCAACTTGAATGTCTGGACTTGCAAGTTATGAATGGAAATGGAATTCTTTAAACTCTCAGATGATCGAATATAATGCGTTCAATGTTTGAATCAAATATTTCAAATTTATACATGATGCAACATGTGTTTGAATTAAATCTTAACACTGAGATATGATGCATCTAATGTTCAAACTGAACTTTCACGACCATAATTAATGCGTCAAATTTTTAAATAGATCGTTTACTTTTGAAATGGGGTATAATGCATTTTATTGTATGATCAAAATTAATTTTGAACCAAACTTGTATTTCCATTATGTTTTGTATTAAACCTGTGTATGATGCATCTGATGCATTTAAATCAAACATCCGGAATCACATGTTATGAATCAAATTTTTAATTCGCAAATGATGCAGCAACTTTTCAAATCGAGGCTCTGAATTCGCCCATGATTCTTTGAAGACTGCATTGAATGTTTAAACTGAACCTTCACACTTAAATATGATGCTTTGAATGTTCGAATCAAAACTTTTGAACTCTCATAGAATGCACTGGACGTTTAAATCAAATCTTAAAGGGACGGTTTACCCCAACTTGCAAATTTTGTCATCATTTACTCACCCTCAAGTTGCTCCAAACCTGTATATCTGAACACAAAAGAAGATATTTTGAAGAATGTTGATAACCAAACAGTTGACGGTACCCATTGACTTCCATAGAATGGAAAAAGTATTATGGAAGTTAATGGTTCCGGCAACTGTGAGGTTACCCATATTCCTCAAAATATATTATTTTGTGTGTGTGTGTGTGTTTAACACTGAAAAATTATGCATCCAATATTCAAACCGAACTTTCGCATTTTTACTTTTGCGTCAAATTTTTAAATAGTTAAGATGTCTGAAATAGAATATAGTGCATTGCGTTGCATGATCAAAACAAATGTTTGAACTTGCCTTTGATGCAACACATTTTTGAATTAAACCTTTGATTTCCATAATGTTTTAATACAACATTCATACCTGTATATGATGCATCTGATGTTTAAATTCAGTTTAGTTTGGCAGTTCACTAGGTTTCTTGTAAAAGCCATGGAGATTCACAGCCCAACTTGAGCATTGTTTTGGACAGAACCTGTTTTGTACATTTACAGCCATGTTTCTGATTCTTTACAGTTTAGTGTTGGTCTTTTGCCGTTTTTCATTTATTACTCATGAAGGTTTGTAATTTAAGGTTCTGATAATAACCATAATCTCTGTTGGGTTTGGCTTGACAGGGTATTATTAGAAGACTGTTTCCTGTTTTCACTGGAGTGACACTGCTGTCACATCTGGCCATCAGCAGCTGAAGATGCAGACTTTCCTGAGAGGCAGACGAGTGGGCTACTGGCTCAGCGAGAAGAAGATGAAGAAACTCAATTTCCTGGCCTTTGCAGAGATGTGCAGGTGAGAGGCTACCATAGATCCATCAGCCTGGATCTCATCCAGGTGCCTGTTGCTGTTGGGCATTTGCTGCACTTGTGGTCAGCGGTTCATCGAAAAAGCTGTTTTCTGTGGCTGCTTTTGTTCCAGTATCGGTCTGTTGCTTGACTGATCAGTTGATCGAGATGTTTGAATAGAAAGATGTAGCGCGCTTGCTCATACACGGTGATGTTTTCTTCATTGTGCATGTTAGAAAGGACTTTGTTTGAACTGTGGTTGAGAAAGATCCAGGAAGGTTGCTTGAGGTTGAGGCAGCAGAGAGGGATGTTAACATAAGTTACATTTTAACATACAGACTGTTTATGTGGAAGTGTCTCATAAGCAGAAATTGTTGCTTAGGTTGACAGACTGTGCATCTGATTTAAAGAAGTGTGCGAATTCTGTGACTCGGACAACACTTAATAATATAGCAAAAATAATCAATTTTGCAGGTTTTAAATGGGCTGCTCCAAATAGTCCTCCTTTCTGCTGCTTGTTGGATAAATGGATAACCCTGTTCCAAGCACACGCCATTGGTTGAGCCAATCTTGACATGTCGGGCTGGTCGAGTTACTTGAGCAATCAAAAGATGAATTTTAGAGGAGAAATGTGTTGATATTTTAATCAGTCATCAGATTTTTTATAATTTTTTTGGATGATAAAACATCTCCTATACTTAAACTGACTAAAAGACCTGGAGCTGCATTTATCAAATTTTCATGAGAATAAAATTCTTAGCAGAATAAATTCTTAGTTCTTTGTATTTTCTAAAAAAAAAATATATATAAAGTTTAAAGTATAATGTGTATATTCCCAAAAAGATTAAAAAAAAAATGTTCTTAATAATACCAATTTAAAAAAATAAATATAAAATAACTTCTGGAAGTTACTTGTGTTAAATCCTAAAAGCTAAAATATTTATAATAAGTAATGCTAGTACTTGCTACATATAATATATATTACTACTACAGTTTTTTTCTTTCATGTCAAATGACTAGTTTACCTGATAGTTACCAGCAAGTAAATTCTCCAGTGATGATTAATGTTAATGAAATAAACTAAGATAAGGTGCTTAAGGTAAACCTTTTAAAGTGCTCTCTGCTTAAAGATTAATAAGTAGATTTATAATTTATTTTATGCTTGAATCTGACTGTCTGACAAATGTTCTAAGGTGTGCAATTATTTTCAGGGAAATGCACGGCTAAAGTTGTTCCAGGCAGAAACAAATGATTTCAGTTATTTCAAAGGTCCTTACAGCTTTACAACAGCAAAAAACCAAAACCCACAACGACACTGACCAAGCAAATAAATATAGGAAACAACAATAAGATAAAAAGGACCAATTATTTACATGTTTTTGACACCAAATTATGTTTTATTTATACAGAAAGCACACTGCTCTCTCTCTTACAAACGCACACACCGACAGTACTGACTGACACACACACACACACACACACACACACACACGCGCTGCTCTGGGGATTTTATTAGTAAAATAGTTTAGCAACTTAAAAGCTACTTGTCATTTCTCACTAGCGAGGTAATAACAGTGTTTTTGAAGCAGATAAACTTGCAGTTTCGCTATTAGTAGAGATGCTGCAGCCGAACCATGTTGAGATACTCACAGACTCGGGTAATTCTCTCTTTCTCTTTTCATAACTGCATCAACAACTGCATTACTATCAATGGCTCAAGCCTCCGTTACTAGCTCTAAAATGACGTTTTGGAATTAGCAACGGAGCGCTGGATGAGATGCGTAAAAAATGAATCCTACACACAAAAGCATTTTAAGCACAAAAACTTGAAATACAACATCTGAACAATACTTGAGGTGTGATAACTGTAGTATGAGCAGAATAATTCAGTCTGGTCTGTTGAATTATTAGAAAATAATGCTCACCTGGTGAGGTGTATTTTCTAATAATTCAATGGACTGCTGTCAATTATTCCTTTTCATATTACATTTAAAATATTATTTCAAATGTACGCAAGTATTGAATTAGTTGTATTAGAAGGCATCGTCCTGAGTATTATTCTTAAGAAAATATTTCAGAATTTTTTTTCTTTTCTAATTCTTTTGGTGTATTTCTTATTGTGTTATTGATTAAGTTCTTATAATTAGCGCAAGTATTGAATTAGTTGTATTAGAAGGCATCGTCCTGAGTATTATTCTTAAGAAAATATTTCAGAACATTTTTTTTCTTTTCTAATTCTTTTGGTGTATTTCTTATTGTGTTATTGATTAAGTTCTTATAATTAGTCCTAAAGTGTTTTTAGGACAAGGCTATATAGGGTCCAGAATATCACCTTCACTCTCTTTTGACTTGAGAACTGGTGAAAACCACTGAGAACACCTTAGCAACTGAACAGCAATGCCCTGGCAACCACTTTCAAGACCCTAACATTGTAAGCATTGAGTTTTTTGTTTTTGTTTTTAAACAGTCGCACACGTTTCCCCCAGAAAAAAACCCTTAATCTACATGCAGGCTTATGCAAAAGTGGTTTTATTTGTCTAAAGATTCATCTGTTTTGTTCCGTTCACAATGCACAAAGTCAAGGGTAGTTTGCCTGTTTAAAAACAGAGCATGTTATAAAATATTTGCAATATTTCCTTCAAGCCTGTGTTTTGCTCTGCTCTGAATGTGTTTTGGCTAAAGCATCTCTGCTATCCAAACTATGATACCCTTGAATGATTTTACATGGTGCGTGTTGGACGACCAGTCTTGGTCTGGCTGTGTTTTAACACTGTTCCAGCACTTTTATGCCCTATGAGTCTGCATTCAGGCAGATTGGCTTACTCATCATCGAAGGCCCCTGGATTATTAGCCAGCAGTCAGAGAGAGAGAGTGAATGAGTGAGTGAGAGTTGGCATAGCAAAGCACTCTTGGAAACTATGCTCTTGAGTGTTGTGTTTGTAACCTGAGAAAACCAAACTGCCGGACCGGCAAAGGGTTAAGGTTACACACAGGGCTTGGTGTGTGTTGTAAATATGTGTGGTGTAGTGAAAAATTGTGTGGTTGGTCTTTTTTTTTTTGTCTTATGCGCTGCTCGTTGTGCCCCAGTCACTGTCTCCAGCTGAATGAACAATTGTGTAGCTAATGTGTGAAGCCAGCATTGCATCGGATTTCCTTTTTTTTTAGGTTAGTTGCATTGAAAACACATGAGCACTCATACTCTACATAGAGCTCCCGATCAGGGTGAAGTTTGGGGGATTTTGTCCACAAAATAAGACCACACATTATTTTATTATTTCACACACAGTATTTTAACATAGGTGCTGCAAGCCATGGTCGTTTTCTCTTGTCAGCGTGAAAGTTACTTTCTTCTTTCAGACGAATAAAATTGGAGTTATATTCAGAATCTCCTGGCTCTTCCAAACTTTATAATGGCAGTGAATGGGGGTTGAGATTTTGAAGCAAAATAAAGTGCATCCATCCATCATAAAAAGTGCTCCACACGGCTCCGGGGGGTTAATAAAGGCCTTCTGAAGTGAATCGATGCTTTTGTGTAAGAAAAATATTAGTACTGTCAAATGATTAATCGTGATTAATCGCATCCAAAATAAGGTTTTTGTTTACATAATATAATGCGTGTGTACTGTGTATATTTATGTATATATAAATTTACTAACATACATGCATGTATGTATATATTTAAAAAAACATTTTTTGTTTATATGTAAAATATTGATATTTATATATAATATAAATTATATGTATGTGTGTGTGTGAATCCTTTTAAAATATATACATGTATGCTTGTGTATTTATATATATATATATATATATACATAATAAATATACACAGTACACACGCATATATTATATGAACAAAAACGTTTATTTTGGATGCAATTAATCGTGACCACTAGTGGTACACAGAGGAAAAATAGTTATCGGTCATATTATATATATATATACATAATAAATATACACAGTACACACGCATATATTATATGAACAAAAACGTTTATTTTGGATGCGATTAATCACAATTAATCGTTAGACAGCACTAAAAAATAGTTATCGGTCATATTATTTTTTATCAATATATTTGTTATTTTCACATTAACAATTTACAAGTAAACATTCTTTGCTAACCACCCTTCCACCCCATCCCATCCTCACTAGACAGAACACTTAAATGAACATTATATAGGCACAGTTACAAAGTTCTAAAAATATCCATATTTAAAGCTTTATAAACCGTAATCTCTAGCTTCCTCTTAAGGCCCGTTCACACCAAGCACGATAACGATAGAGATATAGTTCTAAAAATCGTTCTCAATATTAAAGAATAGCATAGTTCACACCACAACTATAACGATACAGAGGAACTATATCACTTTCAAAATGATTTTTTCCAGCTGATGAACGATAAAACACTGACAGCCAATCAGAATCCATCCTGCTGTAACGAGCTCAAGAATTTAAAGCGGCAGACGCGCGTGCGCTTAGAATAAACGGACGATATCGTTCGCTGGTGTGGACGCTAATATCGTTATCTTTATAGTTATAGTTCTTGGTGTGAACGGGGCTTAACTGTCGTACGCACGTTCACAAGAGAGTGGCGTTCCAAATGATAAAGAAAATCTAAAATATCACATTGCCATAAGTATTCATGCCCTGAACTCTTTCCCCGCCAGAGTTTTTAACGAAAAGTTGACTGCCACTGCCAGCATTTTTGATCTTGTTCACAAACTTTTATGGGCCCCAGAATATTTTGTTGCAGGACTGTCTGACATGCAGTATGTCAAAAGAAAGAACAGAGCCTCTGCCTTTAAGCCAAACAACCCATGTACTTTGTTTTTAACATCAACTAAGTTTCATTTAAAAAAAGCAACATTCTGAACAAAAAGTTGAGGAAATCATGTTTTTGTAAAAGACTATGTCTGGATCAGATTCAGAACTATGATTAAATCATAGATGGATAGGTTGCTTCATCAACACCACCAAAGCTTCACAGTCCTACACCACTTCATG